GAGCTCATTATACACGGCAAAATACGGTAGTTTTTTATTGCTGTGTGACAAGTTACCACAAATTTAACAGCTTAAAACAACAGATATTTATTATCGCAGAGTTTTAGTGGGTCAGGAATCTGAGCTCAGCTTAGTGGGGTTCTCTACTCTGGGTCCCACAAGGCTGCCATCACCTGGACTGTGTTCCTTTTGGGAGCTTGGGAGTCCTCTTCCTAGCTTGTGTGGCTATTGGAAGATTCAGCTGTATGACTGACAGCTCCCATCATGCTAGCTGTGGACTGGGGGCTACGATGAGCTCCCACAGATGCCCTCAGATGCCCTCAGATCCTTGCCATGTGGCCCTTTCCATAGGTCTTCTCGCAACATGGTAGTTTGCCCTGTCCAGGCCAGCAAGACAATCTCTTTATCTGTAAAGTGCTCACTGGATTAGGTCAGGCCAAGACAGGATCAGGTCCCTTTTAATTAACTCAAAGTCAACTGATCAATAACATCTGTGAAATCCCTTTTGCCAAATAAAGTAATATTACCACAGGAGTAATATGCCATAACACCCACGGGTCCTGCCCACACTCAAGAGGGAGGAATTATACAAGGATGTGGGTCATTGGGGATTATTTTAGAATTCTGTCTACCATAATTGTTCCTTCCTGACTGTCATGGACTTGGAGCTCAAGTTCAACGTTCAGTTAAATGGTTAGTTCTGCAGGCTGAGTTGTATTGAGGGCCTCTGAATTTTACACAAATCCCTTATACTCACTATTATTTCATTTAATCCTTACTACAGCTTCCTGCGATATATGCTCCTATCTCCAATTTACCAGTGAGGGAACTGGAGCATAGGGAGCTTAGAAAGAGACCCAAGGTCAAATAGCTAGAAGGCAGAACTTGAAACCCAGGTCCTCTGACTCTAAATAATATGCCCTTTCTCCTACATCACTATTCTGTAGCAACCACTGAAACCTGAGCTGAGTTTGAAGCCTGACCTAATTAGAGAGAAAATTACTTCTCACCTCATCTCTGGCGGCAGTATAATTTAGAACTCAAAGATATAAACAAAAGAGCCAGACTGCCTGGGTTCAAATTCTGGCTCCAACATTGACTGGCAGTACAATCTTGTGCAATTAATCTTCCAATTTGTCTGTTTTCTTACCTGCAGAATGGGGGTAATAAAAGCCGGGGTCTCACCAAGTCATTGTACACTTGACATGAGCTCATGCTGGAGAAGTACTTGGCATTCTGAAGCACTACATTGGTCTTGGCTATGAGTATTGATCTGATTATTATATTTCCACTAATGTAGAGTGCAGATTACTACTCTCCTTGGAGCAGACCGTTACCTCACTTTTTCTGGGCTTTAGCTTATTCTGCAAATTTTAGTATTACTTGTCAAAAATATAATTTATCATGGAAAGGATACATTTTTAAAAATTTAAGAGTCTCTTAACTCACAGGAAAAGATTTGTCAAGTAAAAGAAAACTATGTTTAACCTATGGGCTGATTTTTTTTAAACGAGGGAAACATAGCAGGTTCAGTTGACTGAATTATAAACTTGAGAATAGAAACAGAACATTTCTTAGTATACATATTTTTAAGTGGGTTTTAATCCCATGTTATGACCAAGAGAAAAAGAATTGTGAACGATATGAACAGGAAACTTAGGGAAAGACACAGAGGATGAAAGGAGACTAAAAGAAAGATGGAAAGGAGGGGAGAAAAGGTAACAGGACAGCACAGAGAAAAAGAGAAAGAGAGGAAAGACTACTGAGAGGTAGAGAGGACAGGTAAGGAAAAGGGGAAAATGCTGCTAAAATTTATTGAGCACCTACTATCTGCCTGACACAGCTAGGGACTTAGGTTATCTCACTGAATCCTCAGAACTGAATGAGGTAAATGCTCCTCTCACCACTCTACAGATGAGACAATAGTGACTAAAAGAGTTCGACTTTCAAAGACCAATTATGTTTCTATACAAACATTAGAAACTGTATTTCCAGAGCTGATTGCAATGTGCTGCTCCCCTATACATAAGGACTAATGGTGAGATAAAAATTACTCCACACAGCTTGTTGACCCAGCTTCAGGGTTCCTATTACACTGAGAAAGACTCTTTGGGTGGGCGTGGGTAGTACTGCCTCTTAACACTACCTTAGAACATTAATTACTTGGGTCAAGAAATTTGGATTCTAGGTAAAGCAGAGCCCCAAATGATTTATGCCTCAGGGTAAGTCACTCTTCTGAGCCTCAGTTTCCTCATCTGTAAAATGTATTCATTGAATTAGATAAATTGCCAAATTCTAAAAAAAACCCTATATTTAATATCATGCTGCCATATTTTCAATAGACTGTTAGTTTTGAACTCTTAGATGTCCCCATGGCATTCAAGTTTATGGCAGGAAGCAGTAAGGTGAGAAATAATCTCAGCAGTAGTAGCAAGGATCTATCAAGATGAAGTGGAAACCCACTCAATAGCTGTTTTCACACAGGGAAAAGGCTGTGATGTGGATTGGGGAGTAGGTATAATGTATTTGGTTGCTCCAGTTAGGTCCACCATATAGAGTTTTTCAGGCTGTTCCCTGCACAAACATAGGAGGCGATATTCACATAAACAGTCGTAGGCCATGGTTCTGGCTTCCAGAAGCCAAAACAAAGATCAGTGGGTAGAGGTTAGAATAAAGAAAACTGTGCCTCAGAAGAAAAACAACAAATTTTGTGATATTTAGAGTTGCCCCTCAACATCGTGAAAACGTTACCTTTGGGAGTTTTTAGGCAGAGACCACATGATATAGGGCGTTCTACTAATGAATGAGAGTTTAGAGAGTACATAAGTGACAGTACAGGTTAGTTTCTGGATGTAATCAGAGCTAGCTGTGATCTTCTTAACGTCTTTAAACCTTAATTTCCTGAGTCCATATTATTATGGTCATGCTGTTGTCAGTATACAGAAGCTTCTGTGTCTGTGTTTAGCTACATTTTATACATTTTATTCACGTCTGTCTATCAATCATCTATCTATCTATCTATCTATCTATCATCTATCTATCTATCTATCTTCTACCTTAGCATGATGCCCCACATAAGATAAAAGCTCAAAAAGTGTAGGTTATCACTATGTTTATTGTCTTTACAACTACTGAATGAGGCTTGCGGCACAGCAGAACTTCCTTTTAGCTCTGCGGGCATACTATTGCCACCCATGCTCGCAGGCAAAAAATGGTGACACTTTCAGATATGCTGCTTTGCATTCTTAATTGTAGCACAAACATGCAACATAAAGTCCATTCTCATCTCAAGCATAAAGCCAGAATTTGGCTAAGAAATGGAAGTTGTTCTGCTTCTAGGCAGAGAGTGGTAAGAAATAATGATTGTGGCCCATCAATTTCTGAATTATCCTCTAACAGCTCTTTCTAAACTTTGAAAAATGGGGCTCTCTAGCGCCCAGCATTAGCAATCCCAGTTCCTCACCATGGCTTGTAGAATCACACAGCATCTATTTCAAGTCATTCATTGTGTAGCATGGCTATTTCGTCACTCAGAAATTAATTTCATCAACTCAGCTTCAAATTCTATTGTCAAAATACATGTGTTTGATGTATTATAGAATTGTACACTTGAAACCTGTGTAACTTTACTAACCATTGGCACCCCACTAAATTGAATTCCAAAAAAAAGGAAAAGCATGTGTTTTCTGAGGGAGTGTCACTCTTTTTTTTTTCCTGTTGATAGATGCAGATGTACCTGAAAAAAAAAAATTGGGATTCTCCTCCACAAGCGGCAAAGATGCAGCTGTCAAAAGCAATCACCGCATCAGAACAATTGGGTAGGGAACAAAAGTGTCCTTGGCTGCTTTATACGAGACACAGTAAACTAGCTTATTCGTGAATAATGAAAACACAACTGAGGAAAGGCTATAAAGCTTACATTTTGACTGCTTAGGTCATAGTCCTCACTGTGGCTCATGCAAGCTATTCTTACCTACAGGCCTTTGTGCTACCCCTACGCCCCCTACTCATTAATTTACACCCCTCCTTTCTCTTATCATTCCATTCATTCATCATTCATTCATTCAAAAACTCATTCATTCATTCGGCAAGAATTTATTGATCCACTTTTATATAGAACTGCTTGCTCTGGAAGGATTTACAATTTAATAGGGGTGCTAAAATAACATGAGGATATGTTTTTGTCCCCAGGGAAATCTCTCCTAATTGTTCCAATCTGCAAGGTCTTTTAGCTACTGTTTTGATCTCTGATAGAATTTTTATCTTATTTACTAATTGTCCCATTTAGGTGACTCTTAATTCCCCTCAAAATCTTTAGTTCTTTAAATAGGGGCACCCTGGCTCACGCACCTACTCCTCTAGCCTGAGCAGTACCTGGCTGCACCCCAGCCAGCTCCTTAATCTTGCCTGGTGGTCTTCATCCAAGTCAAGTTTGTCTTCCTCTTTGTTAGGACAACTTGTTCTTTCCCCCTCAGGGTTCTCACTCAGACTTGTGGGGTGAGTGAAATCTTTATTATTTTTTAAGACCCAGAATGGAATCTTCCTATGGAATAGTTTTTTAGGTGCTGTCCAAAGTCCTGTATAAAGCTGTTATAAATGGTTGCTGAATCTATAAAAACCCAGTGTCTATAATATCGTATCATTTGCTAATATTACTTAAAATACATCATTTTCTCTGCATTTTATTATTTGCTCATCAGCTCATAGGATTCTTCTTTCTAATCAGATTGAAGGCTCCATGGAACAAAAAGTATATCCACATCCCCTCCTCACAGTCCCTGGCCCATTGTCAAATATTGTAACTGTCAATAAACATGAACACTATTTGAAACTCAATCAATAATAAGAGATCTGTAAAGTCATTACAGAAACCTTGCTATCACAGACTTTTCTTTCAAGTGCAGAACTTTTGTAGAAGTAGCATTCTCCAAAGGTACAAACGTGTCTCACTGATGTGGCAGATTTACTTTCCAAATAATTCTAACATTTCAGATCTTTACCTGAGTCTGCCATCCTCTGCTGCAGCACCTCCTGGTATAATCTTCGTAATAAATATGCCCGGGTCATCTCCAATATGGGGATTATCTGTCCCTCCAGCAATACTGAATCCCAGGCCAGAATTCCCCTGTAGAAACAATAAATAGACATTAAATGATGTGGCTGTCATCTAAGCCTAGTTCCCTTTGCGTTATCATCTTACTACTCAAATGGAAATCAGGTGATAACAGTCGGTATGCAAAGCTATAAAGTGCACTGTCAGCAGGCAAAGGAAGGTCAGGAAAAACATTCAAGTTTGTCCCTGCATTGCAAGAATTCAAGAGGCCTTAAATTTTGGCTTATTCAAAGGGCCTTATATTTTTGCTTTTAAGAAATGCTACCTTTATACAGCAATTAAAATGATCATTACAAAGTAGGAAGTAAAAGCTTAGAAATTGTGTAATATGAAAAAGCACAAAAAATCATTAGTGTCAATTATAAAAAAATATACATACATATAAACAAATGGAAGGAAGCAAGTAACAAAATATTTGATTTGGCTAGAGTAGTGAAATTTGGGTGTTTTCATTTTATTTTCAATATTGTTGTTCAAATATTGTTTATTCATCACATAAATGTGTTCCTGTATAACAAGGAAATTTGACTTCAGATGTCAGGGCCCCTTCTAGAGTCATAATACATCTAAGATGTTTTCCCAAAATAAACACATTTTAATTTACAGTAGATATAGGAACAAATGCATTACTGCTGCAGCATGTAAGTCTAAGTAGTTTATATTCTAATAAAGCTTTCACAATTATTCTTGCAGATAATAGTAATTGACATCTAATGTACATCTAACTTTTTGAAATTTGTATGTAAGACAATTAAGTCTCCCCAAAATTCACAAACCATCTTTCTTAACATATCCCTTATTTACATATTCTCTTAATCTCTACCTCCACAGCTACATTATATTTCCATATTATGTTCCGATTTCCTTTTCTAATTTGCATTATATTTTAAGTTGTTTCCATATAGCTAGCTAGTCTTTATAATTACCCATTTTTAAATAACTAAATAATATTTTATCAAGGTCATATATCATCCTTTATTTAAACAGTCCCCTGTCGCTGGATATTTAATTTCTCTATATACTCTTATGACACATATAGCTTACTGAATTTATAATCACTTGATTAAGTTCTGCTCTTGGGTAAAAAAAGATGATGGCTAAGAACTTAATAGTTAATGCAGAAAAAATAATTAGGGCACTCAGTCAAAAAAGTTCAATGTTAAAATAAGGTCAGCCTATCACTTGACAGTTATAATACCGCAGATGTCAAGGTAATGTTTGGCAATTTTTATGGATTGAAGTAATAATACTCTAAATTCCAGAGGGTTGTTTTCACAATTGTACATTTAAGTTGAAAAGTTAAATCATTCAACCACAGCAACCAAAAGCCCATGTCTTCATACTTCTAACGTCTCTCAAATTGTTTGTTCTTTGAAAATTTCCAGTGTTCATCGATCAGAGCTATTGCTTAGTAGCAGTCATGTAATCATGAATTTAATATTTATTAAACAGCAGCTCTGTGCCTAGCTCTAGACTAAGCCCTGGAGCTACAGCAGTGAATATGTCAACTTATGAGGCCGATGAAGGGGAAGTCCAGGCTGCAGGAGTAGCTAACAGGAGCACCAAACACAGGGACCTTCAGGAGGACAGCAGTTTGTTATTTTCAAGGGGATCAGGGTGAGAGTTGGAGAGGGGGAGAGAATGTTCCAGGCAGAGGGAAGAATTTATGTGAAACCGCTGAGGTGAGATAGGATATGCCAGGTCCAAGAAACAGACAATAAGGCTGGAATGAAGAAAGCAAGGGAAAACAGACGAGTCTCAATCATGAGGTTCTTCAGAGCAGTGTGTATAATCCATTTTTAGTTTGAAGCACCTATTGCCACCTGACAACTGCATCAGTATGGGATGAGTATCTCCTATGCGATTGTCTTGAAGCTAAAGCTAGAGATGAAGCCCAGGTGATTTCCACCTTCACAGAATTGAAGACAGAATAGAAAAGGCAGTGAGAGTCTTATATCTGGAGATTAGTACATTTTAAATGTATAACCTCATTTACACTGACAGGTAGATAGCCACCAAGATAGCATGTATGGGCCCAGCACGCTTCCGCTGCGCAACTCTGCTAACCAAGATAGCATTTTGGTGACTGACTTATGAGGTGGTTTCTTTAAGATCTCTAGGGATTTGGGGCGGAAAGGATGGGAAAATGAGTATCTTCAGTGTAATTTGGGTCTAGCTCCAAGTACATCAACTGGAGCATACTGGTCTTACTCGAGTTTGCACTTCAGGGATAATACTTTCTTGATTAAGGGGTATAGGGAAGGAGGAAAACATGGACTGGGAGATACTCAAATGCTTTCTCCTGACTATCAATATTTTTTGAGAGAGCACCTAAAACTTTGTCATTTGACAGAGATATTCATGATCTAAAGCTTAACCTATTTTCTTTATTTCCAGGTTTTTACTTTCACCCCCAGAAACACTGACCTGAACCCCTGGCCCTTTCCTGCATAATCCAGGCTGTAACTTGTCTCTTGGCCTTTGTTTATGCTGTTTTCTCTCCCAGAAACTTCCCATCTTCCACTTGACTGGCCCATTTCTTCCCATTTTCTAAGATGGGGCTCAGATGGCATCTGTTCCAGGAAATACTAAATTATGACTCCAATCCCCTTCTCTAAGTCACTCCTCTTTTGAGTTTTTGTAGATTTATATGCTTGGCTATGTCATACACTGTGTTCTTTTGAAGTTATATGTTTTTGAATCTATCTTTCCTTCAAACTGAACCTGCAGAAGGCAGGAACTATGTTCATCTTTTTTTTTGGTGCCTTTCTTGGTGCCTTGTTCACTAAATATTCGATGAACGAATGAACAGACAAGCAAACTTCCTGAGAATATTCAAGCTCTAAAGGGAAGACTCCGAAAGGACACAATAAAAGTCCACAATGTGTTAGAGGATTAAATATAGAGGGAAACACTATTTTGTTTTGTGTGGCTAGAAGAATAAATGGAAAGCTTAGGTATTCAAATTGTGGCTCAGGTGAAGGATGCATGATGAGACAGGGCTGACCCAAGTGGAGCCAGGCTGTTTTGGGAGGGAGGGTCCTTCCCTCAATGGGCAGCTGGCTAGTCACTGGACATAAGGGACCCAAGCATCTATTGAGAGGTTACACTGGATGAATTTAAAGGATTCTTTTGATTCTCTGACTAGGTTTGTAGGAAACCTGCTTTTGCCAACAGAGAAAAAGGAATGCTTTAGGAACCTTTACAAAGGGAAGTAGATTCCTGTTGAAGTTTGAAAACATTCTGTGAATCAACAGATCTTTGAAATACTGGCTTTGATGACAATGTAGCAACATTTAACTACTGTTTTTAGAATTGTTGCAGAATATAGTCACTCTGGCATTTACTAATACACATTCCCCTGCCCTTGAATCTACTCTGAAGAGGAGAATAAATGGATCAAGGAGTCCACAATGAAAAGAGGTAGGTAGAGATAGAGTGTAACTGGACCTGTGTTTCCGGTCCCAAGGATTCCCAAAAGCTTTTGTGTTTCAATTCTAATCAGCCTGTCAGCTGGGCCTGGCCAGTCACCATGGTTCTTTAGAAGAGGTTCATCTGAATTCAGCTAAGGAAATTATTTAAAGTGCTTTCCCAAATCCCTTATTATTCTCTCCCAGCCTTCCCTTTCAGGTCTTTGCTACCAGCCAGCAGCATTCAGTAGAGAGAGGGACAGATAAAAAGCTGCAGTGAAATTACTGCCTGCTGTTCCCCATGACTGAATCACTCCAGTCCCCTGACAATCATTCCAGAGCCAGCCAGCTGCAGGGCCAGACCCCTGAACCTCTCTTCTCTGAACAGCAATCTCTTGATGTGAATAGGCAGACCCCTGGCTGACACCCTTACATCCTGAAAATTGTGACTAATTAACCAAATGTTGACACTTAATGTAGTCGATGGAAACTGTGAGGTACCACGCTGGTGAGGGCAGCCTTGTACTCAGTTCTGGGTGGACTGCTGTTCCCTTGTAGCTGGGCAGATTCCATGACTGATGAATGTAGCTGGCATAGGCCATTCTTTCTCCTAGTTCCCAGCCCTCCACATTTGCTGACTTTCACCCAAGAACGCAAGTCCATTGCCTAGCCAAATGGCACTTCCTTTTCCATGCAGCACACTCCACCTCTCTCAGAAAAAGAACCAGCAAAAAAGAAAGACAGTTTGCTATTTAATTGGTGCAAATATAAATACAATTATCCTCCGAAAAGTTCCTCTTTCATTAAAAGTTTGCTCACCAAACGAAAATTATCCCCAAGATGAGTTATAACAAAAAAGAGAATGAAGTTATATTACAATCATATGCATTTGTAGAAGGTTCTGTTGACAAAGAATTTCTTTGATTTTTAGAAGCTAAGTTACTCATTTAAAATATTGTTTAATGTATCATTTCTAGAAATTTATCCTAAAGAAATAATTAGAGATGTGTGTAAAGATTTGTGTCCAAAGCCTTGTTGCAGTATTATGTTCCTAATATTAAAAACAAAACAAACAAAAAAACAACTTACAATTAAAAACAGTTCTCAGCCTAGAAATAAGCGATGACCATTTTTACTTAATTACAACTTTTAGGAGTTGCATTTAGAATGTCCCATAGTTTCCTATATTAAGTTGTCTTTTTTTGGAAGCTGCTGAGTAGAGGAGCCATCAGGAGATCTGCATTTGGGGATTGGTAACTGTAGGTTTGGTAGGATCATAGGATTAGTAACGTGTAGGAGAGTGCTGTAAGGGGATGGGAGATAAAGGAGATGACCAGTTTCTACAAACAGGTAGAAATACAATGCCAGATTAGCGTGTGCCACATAACTCATAAGAAGTAAAGGGTGATACAGTACAGGTAGAACACTGCTTTTGTGAAAGACTTTTATTCTTAGGGGAGACATGTGATAGTGTCTGATGAGGAGGAGGCAGAGCAGAGGAAAGATTTTAGAAGATGGCGGGGAGGGAACTCAAGCATGTCTATGGGCTAAAGGGAAGAAGCCCTTAGAGAGGAAGACTGAAGGTACAGAAGAGATGGCGAG